ATTATGGCAATTTTTACTATTTGATGAGAAGAGTAATTTCATGTACGTTTGTTTGTTTGTGTGTGTGTGTGTGTGTGTGTGGTGTGGGTGGGTGTGTGTGTGTGTGTGTGTGTGTGTGTGTGTGTGTGTGGTGTGTGTGTGTGTGTGTGTGTGTGTGTGTGTGTGTGTGTGTGTGTGTGCGAGTGTGTGTGTGTTTGTGTCAAAATAATAAATTTAATTCGGCGACAAATTCGTACGAAATTTCAGCTGCGCATAATCACCAAGTGGCGACCATACATCCTTGATATGTATAATTAACTGACATAAAGAGGAAAAGATCAGCCAATGATGGATACGACCATTAAAAAAAAATCCTCTCAAAGGTGGATAGATTGAGGGATCGATACCATTTTCACATTTATTTATTTAACTAAATGTATATTTTTGTCCATAGATCCTGAACGAACAAGGTCGAATATGTTGCTTCGGTTTCGCCCCCTCGCCCCCTCGCCCCCCTCACCCCCCTCCTCGTCCTGCTGGCGGTGCTGGGGCTGGCTGCTTCCCATGAACAAAATCCCATCGATGAGTTCATGGTCCATGATCACCAAGAACAGGGGCAACAACAGCAGCACTTTGAAGGTCAGGGACAACAGCAACATACTGAACAACATCAAGAACAACAGCAGCATTTTGAACAGCAGGTACCGCAAGAACAGAATCAACAACAGGTACCGCAAGAACAGCATCACCAACAGCAGGTGCAGCAAGAACAACAACAACAGGTACACCAAGAACAGCATCAGCAACAAGTACCACAAGAACAGCATCATCAACAACAGGTACAGCAAGAACAACAGCAGCATGTCGAGGAACAAGTTCAGCAGCAACAGCATACTGAACAACAAGTTCATCACCAAGAGCCACAACAGCAGCAACAGCACGTTCAAGAGCAGATGCATCACCAGCATCAGCACACAGATGGGCAAGTAGAACACCAAAATAACGAAGAACAAAAACACGACCCAAACTAGACAACACACACCACGCTCCACAACCCGAAGAACATGATCAGTCCGCTGTTCACATCCACCCTCCTGAAGAACAGACAGAGCAACAGCAAGGACAGCGCGTTCGCATGTACCTTAACCCGTAAGTTCGGGCGGGATGGAGGGAGGAAAAAAGTGGCCTTTGCTTTCCCCTTTGTATTTTGTGGTAATGTCACTCTCAGCGCGTGTTGGAGTTGTTCTTGCTGTTGCTAAGGATGGTGACACTGTAGACGCTTTTACCCCAACCAAGAATATCACAATAATCGTTATTTATTAATCTATTTAAGTGTTTATTTGTCAATCTATCTAGCCATTTATCTATTGATTTTCAACACGTATATTTTTTTGCAATATCATCATCGCCTCATATTTACCTTGCACTTTATTACTTTCAACCCGTTTTTCCAATCCACATTTATCCTAGCCATCTGCAATCTTCTTCATTCACAATCATCACCATCATAACAATCCGCCACGAATCTTACAAAACGATAAAAAACACCAACACACCTCACCTTCCTCACCACGACCTCTCCTGACCTCTCCTGACCCCTTCCTCTCCGCCGTCGCAACAGGGACCGCCTCCTGGACGAACACCTCGCCGAGATGCCCCACCTCGACCCCAAGACCATGTCGCCGTCGGAGAAACAATACCACTTGTTCCTGGCTCACGACTACAACCAGGACCTGAACCTCGATGGGGTGGAGATCATGCAGTCGATTTTCCACGGTGAGAGGGGTTCGTGAGGGCGAAAGGGATGGGGAGAAAGGGAAGGAGGGAGGGGTAGGTAGAGGCAGGAAGGTGGGGAAGTGGGAAAGAGGTTGGGAGTCAGGGAGGGAGGAAATGGAGGGAAGGAGATAGAGAGGAAGGTGGGAAGTGGGAAAGAGTTGGGGGCAGGAAGATGGGAAGTGGAAAGAGTTGGGGGGTCGGAAGGGAAAGGGGGGGAGGGAGGGAGGGAGGGAGGAGAGATAGATAGATAAAGAGAGAGAGAGAGAGAGAGGAGAGAGAGAGAGAGAGAGAGAGGAGAGAGAGAGAGAGAGAGAGAGAGAGAGAGAGAGAGAGAAGGAGAAATACATACTGGCTCACAGAAAGAATAAGAGATAAAAGAGAGAAAAAAACAATCAAGCTCTTAAAATCATAATAGCATACAAACAAACGAGCACACACACACAAACAAAAACACAAACACTTACACAGACACGCACACACACACACACACACACACACACACACAACAAACAAACACCCACACACTCACACGCACAATTACACAAACAAACACACACACCTTCCTCTATCCCCAATCACTCTTCTCTCCACCCCTTTGCAGATGACTCGACCGAACTCTACACCGACGAGGTCCTGGCCCAGAAGATCGACTACCTCCTGGACAACTTCGACAGAAACCGCGACGGGAAACTGTCCTTCCCTGAGTTCATGATGTCGGACGCAAGGTTCACCGCTGTGTAGGCCGGTGGTAAGAATCCGAGGTAATAGACTTTTTTTCTTGTTTGTTATTTAGAATTATTTTTTTATTTGTTTATTTTTTTCTATTTTTTGTTATGTTATTTCTAATTTTTTTGTATTGTTCATTGATTTGTTCATTTGTTATCGTTATTGTTATTATTATTTTGATATTGTTATTATGGTTCTTGTTATTATTATTGTTATGATTATTGTTATTATTATCAATATTGTTATCATTAACATTACTATCAATATCATTACTATTTTATCATCATTATTCTTATCATTATTATTATTATTATTATTATTATTATTATTATTATTATTATTATTATTATTATTATTATTATTATTATTACCGTCATTTTTATTATCAATATTATTATTATCATTACTATTCTTATCAACATTGTTATTATTATGGATATGATTACGTGTTATTATCATTACCATCCTTGTTATTCTGTTCCGATGTTAGTTCGGTTGATAAATTCGTTGTTTGTTTGTTTGCATGTTTCAAACTTCCAAGCGAAAGCCTTAGTGCTCTGCCTGCTTTGTACAAAAAAAAATGTTTGAAATTCGAGTTTAATTTTTAAGATCCTTTCTGGAAAGTGATGACAAAAACATAGGGTTTCGTGAAGGGAGGCGAGATGTCTGTGGATGAGCATAATTAACGGTTTTATTTACACGAGGAAGTACAAGGAGCCCACTTAGGCCGGTTTTTTTTTATAATATTGATAATTATAACTTTTCAAGTAACATCTGCGTCGGTATAATGCAGGATTTCAGCATCTGGATGTAAAAAAATAAATGAATAAATAAAAATAAAATAAAAATAAAATAAAAGATATAAGAGATAAAATATTCAGATCCAAGTGTTATCGTGGAATTACTCCCGTGATCACCGAAGGAGTCACCTATTGATGTGTTCTGTGCGTTTCACATGTCACAGAGGGGTTTCGACATCAATGTCAATGGACATTATGTCAATGGACATAATTTTCAGTTCCTTATCACATCGTAAAGTTTGTGTAACGGATTTTTGTAAATTCATCAGCGTGGTGGAGTTTTTTCCTCGTTTATAGCTTGCTCAGTACTCGTCTGCATCTGTTTGTCGTTAAAACTCATTAAATACCGCCTCAATTACCCTATTCCCCGTTGCCTGTTCCTCCATGTCCCTGCATTTCCGTTTATTACCCACTGTCCTGTCACATCTTACTCCAGTCCAAGGTCTAAATAAGTTTAAACTTTGATGCAGTCTGCACGTATGCTTAAATAGATCGATTTTCGCAGAATACAGCAACGTAATACCATCAACACTTGTTTAAAATGCATGTAAAAACGCTGACACTGCTCGTACACTTGACTCTAAAATTTACATTATGCAGCGTGAAAAAGTTGGCGTTAAAACGCTATTTTAGGATAAGCTAAAACGAGAACACTCAAATGTTATTAATGTAAACTCGTGCATCAAATGATTCGCCGTATTCTCAAAAGAAGTGGTTAATAAGTGTGCTAGACAAATATAAGTTATATAGCACTTTGGTAGAGTATAGAGGCGAAAAGTGTTAGGAATGAGTTAATAATTAGGGTAAAGTGTGTAAAGTTGGAGGTTGAACTGTGCCAGAGGATAGTATGGTAGTGAAAAGGATAAAGAGGACGAGCTGATGAGGTGTAGTATAACGTAAAGGCTATTAGAAGGGAAGGAGTTAGGGGAAGAGGACAGTTAGATCAAATGAAGAATATTTATACGTCTGGAGAAGGAGAATAAGTTGTCAGAGGAAAAGGTAGGGGATTCCGAGAGAATGTCCAACAGTCCGGGAAGTCGAATAAGTGAGAACAAGTGATGAGAGTGATACGGGTTGCTGTAAAGAGGGAACAGGATAGTAAAATGTGCGGGACTGAAAAAGGAACATTGCATGAGATTTAGGCGTATAAGGGAAAACAGAGCAGCAGGTACGGAATATATGAGCCAAGGTGGGTATTTATGGGTACAATAGTGTTAGGGTAGGGGTCGTACGAGAGAAAAGGGTGAATAGGAGAGAAGTACATCCATGCGGACAAAGAAAGGAGTAGGTTGGCGTGGAGAGGAGGTAAAGATAGGAAGACGGGATCCACAAAAGAAAGAAATAATACAATAGCAGACTCCAGGAATAAGACCCACATGTCAGCCAGGTCTTATGTTACCCGTAGAATTTAATTATGATACGAATGTTCAAAGCAACGAGAAAGACTGAGATATAAATAGCATTAGTAGCACATAAAATAGTTACAGGGCGGTGCGAATTTAGATCAGTGACCCCGATTATTTCCTACATTTTCATAAAGAAAACTGTTCATCCGAAAACATGGGGTTATTAAGGAATACTGTGGCAAAATCTAGACATTTTGACTTCCCGTAGGCCTGCAAGTGTCTATTTCGATGTGTCAGTAATATATTGTATCCTATTATTTGGTATGATTTGAACATTTGTTAAAATACATTATTTGTAGGACGTCATTACTGAGCGCTATTTTCTTTACTGGTCTAGTTTCAACATATTTTTTGTAGTACAGAACAATGTCTTTGACTTGATCGTTTCTAGAAAATTAAGTCATTCAATGTACCAACTAGCGAGTTTATTTCTTGCTGGATTTGATCTTAATATCTATTCCTCTTTTTTTTTCTTGTTTGCAATCTGCTTCCAGTTCTATTTTTCCTGCTTTTTTATTGTTCATTGTTTTAAGTTGTGGTTGAAATAATGATTATAATTAATTTTCCTTGCCATAACTACACTTGCAGGCATGATATTATAAAGACCATGATGTAACAAAACTTATAATTGCAAACATTATCATCATTCAGCATAAAATTCCCAGAGAAATGGTAATAGTAGTAATGACTGAATACTATTGAATGACCATTATATGAATGTGAAAAGCAAGACACAACAATCATAATGATTTAGAATGATCATAATTAATATTTTGATATCCCTAATAATCATCATAATAGTAAGTGACGGTAAATATCACATTCATCAATTATCATTACTTTCCACGGTGATGGAGGTAAATTCCACACCCCAAGGAGGTAAATAAAATGCCACAACAATTTTGCTATGAAAGCACTGTATTGTCAAAATAAACAAGCACACCTTCGACACAAACCTCATCTTTGGCAACTCTCAACTTGCTGACCTGCTACACTATCATCAGACAAGAGACTACCAAGTTCAATGGTAAACGTCCACATATCTAAAAATTCAAACTCTTGGCGTGATGCATAAATTTTCTCTTCTTCTTGAAATCTACAGAAACACGGGTCAAAGTCTGGGGTTTGGTTGAATTGCAGGTTCTTCCAGTTTTGTCACAGTGGAGGGTCCTTTGGGAGGGAGGGGGGAATGGGGGGAAGAAAGCAAGGATTATATTTAACTTCAAACTTATTCCCTGCTTCTGAATGGTGAGATGATACCATTCTTTTTTCCTTTTGTCTTTTACTGATACATATATATTCTTTTTTTCAGTTCAACCATTACACCTCTCCACAGTACAATCCAATGCATGAAATCACTTTTAAATATACACTTGAATGCATAGTCCTCTTAAGCTGAATTAAAGATATCACTTTGAATACATACTGAAAGTTCTTAATCTGATCAAAGCAAAGAGAAAAAATATATATATATTCTATTAATAATATCAGATAATCATAACAGCTTGTACGACCTTTTCAAATTAAGATTTCATGTTGGCTGAGAAATGGTTAAATACAAGTGATAAAAATAGATTTACAAATATTATTTATGAAGTACATAACCTCTAGGAACACTTTTTTTTTTTCCTTCTTTTTTTTTTTAATGTAATAAAACATCCATATTTCTAAAGGCTATGAAATAATGTACTTCGACTTCTCATTTACGGCCTTGCTACGCACAAGAATATTACGACATTTAACACATATAAGAAATGAAAAAAGAAGTGACATGTGTACTACCATGCACAAAATTTCAAATAGATACACATCACAGGACCAACATATGAGACATTACATGGCTCTGTTCAACAGGTGTCTTGAAGCGGTGACAAGTAGTACTTTTCTATTTTTCCTACTGTTGGGTTTTCAACAATAACAATTACCTTTTCTTTGAATTTTAAGATTTTCATCTCTATATTGCACAATACTTGGCAAATGTGCCGCTACACACATTTAGAGCATGGAGAACATATTCCTTCTCTTCAGTCCACTTCTGCAGCTAGGTTGTGGCTTGAGGAATCTCAATTCAACCAATCTTTTGTGCAATCCACATCTTAATATCAAGTACTCATAAGGCAACCTTAAAATAAAATTGGAATAGACTTTTAGAACCTTTAACATGATCACTGGGAATAGAATATAAGGTAATGGCAGTCTGAGCCTTTGATACAGGACAGAAAGGTACTTTATATATCAATTCATAAATGTACTTTCAATAAACTATGTAGTCTGATAATTTTTTAACAAAATAATTTTCTTCTAACAAATAAAACATATTTCTAATTGGCAATTTTTTTTCTATGAAAATCAAAATAATCTGTTGACTCTTAATACCTATACAAATACTGTAAGCCACAAGGAAAATTCTGTTCATCACGGATTTCAAGAGGATCATACACACACTTTCACACATCCAAGCATACAATGTATATCTATTTTTAATGCCCAAGACATAAAACAATTAACTTGTGCAACATACACATGCCCCAAATTTGTACAGCAATTTCAAGATAGTTGGGAAAACATGTCATATTAACTTTTAATTGTAATAGTAGCTGCATCAAAAGCAGAAACAGAGAAATAAAATGTTTACAGTAAACAAAATACAACTAAATTCCTTGTACATATTTTAACACTCCTAGATAACGTAAAAGTACAAAGCTGCATGTTGGATAGCCTCTTGACCAATGTGACTAACAAAATATATCAACATCAGTAAACCCTCATTTCTGAACATGAAGAGGTTACTAGAATATCTTACTCAACTACTT